ACACACTTTCCCACAAGCCCCATACTACATATAGTTCCTCCCACATATCACTCTTCTCTCTATAACTATTTGGTCCATAGACATCAGTTAGCATCCAAGTGAATCCATCCTCCACAGTTTTGAACTTAACAGATATGGTATATCTGCCAATTAGTTCTTCCATTGATTCCACCGCTTCATCCTTCCATAAAATTGCTATACCCCAGACCTCTTACATTCCAACTAGTTATTTTCATTCTTTCACTTTTTAGATTGACTCTCTTTTATTCTTTCCTCTCTACTTAAGCTTTTTCCTTATATCTCCTCTCCCACTGAATTCAATATCACCCTCTACATCAGATATTAGTCTTTCTACCTCTGTCTTTTTCTTCTTTTTTTTGTCCTTTATTGTTTCATCCTTTCTAACATACATCTTCACCCTCTGATTACCTTGTTTTTGTGTGTTTTCCTTTACAACTGGGTCAGCCTTATTTTGGACTCCCTCTTGACTTATTTCTTCCTTTTTTTAAGGTCCTCCAAGAATTCGCTAATCAAACCCCAAATCCTTTCTACTTCCTCCTCTGTCCCCCTCCTAACTTCTATCTCCCTCCCTCACAACCTCTCTATCCCATCTCCATTCTCCTTCCTTGGGATATCAGGTTGGGTAACTGCTGTACCTGTTTCAGGCAGAGCACACACATCAGTAACCAAAACTGAATGGACACACTTACCTGGAGACGCTAGTGGAGGAACAAAAGTGCAGTTTGGGGTCCAGGTTTGGAGATCAAAGAATTGGGATTATCCCCCAAACTTAGTTTCTGTTGATCGGGAATTGGAGAGTTTACTCTCTGTTTGCGCCATTAACCTTCTCTGTTTTTCCCTTCTCTATTGCCTCCATGCTAACCTTCAAGCTCTCCTCTTGTCTCATTTCCTGAGCTTCCTGTCCTTGCTGGGAGACTGGGGGTAAATTCTCTAAGTTTAGGGAGGAAGTAATCTGCTCAGCTTCGACTGTAAATACTGCATGTCTGTAATCTTTTATTTCTTTTTCACCGATCGATTCTCCAAAAAGTCTTCTAAAAACAGTTCTTCGGTGTTGAAGCTCTCTGCTTCATTCATATCAATCTTCACTGTTTGATCTATACTGCCCAAACTCGAGTATTCACTTGATTATGAGTTGCTACTGTCTTCAAACTCTGAGTCTGAATCTTGCAATTTCTTCTTACCTTTGTTGCCGCTCCTATTAAACTTTGGGTTCCTCTTTTCTGGGGAAGTCGAAGCTTTCCCTTTGGTCTATATCCACATCATCGAAAATAGCCGCCCCTGGTTTTTTCTTCAGCCTCCCACTGTTTCTGATTTGGTCGAGGAAGATGATGATGGACCGAAATTATCTTCCATCATTGGGCTTCCCTTAGTGCTCATGTGCCCTTTAAAAATGTCATGTGCTTTGGCCTATTGAAGCCCACTGGTTGGGCCCAAGGGACAAAACGAGCGGCTAGGCCCAAGTATTGAAAGCGCAGGCCCGATTTCCTTATTACCTCTCACGTGGTCACTTAAAGTGCCACGTGATGGGCTTTTAGAATTTGACCCATCTGACTGAGTCCGGTTCAGGTCTGATGTCCCAGCCGGCTGAGTCACCCCTGCTTTTGAATTTTGAATTTGAGGCTGCTTCCCACATCAAAGTCCACTGGTCACTGCTTCAGCATACGACCAGCCGTGTGTCTCGTCCCTCTCTATCCTTGGCTTATATATTTCTGTCCCTGTTATTTCACCTTTTTCTCTCCCCAGAGATTGTTTTTCTATTTCAGTGTAACTTCCTTTCTCCTTTTCTTCATCCATTTGACCTCTGCCATGTAACCACTCTTCTTCTGTCTTCTCATCTTCTTTTCTTCTTCCCTCCCTCCATAGCTCAGCTTCAACGGCTGTTACTAACCAGGCTGAATACAGTACTCCATCAACCAGCACTTTCATGAATGGGGGATGTCTTCCAAATTCACATTGCTCAGACATATTGCCGCAGAATGGGGAGGTCTTTAACAAAAATACCATCCAACCTTGCTTTACATAGAGTGGCTATAGAGGCAAAAACATCTGGACTCCAAAGATGAAACAACAATCCCAAGATTCGAACAGTTACTTTGTCTTTCTCATGCAAATCCTTGGAATTAGAGTGAGGGGACCATTTTGAAACAGTCACAGAAGCTGACTCCAACTGATAACACATGGCATGGAGTTCCAATTTCTCTCCTACTAACTCTAGAAGGGCTTTATATTTTTCAAAGGGGGTTAAAATTATAGTGCAGTTTTGAAGGGATGGGATATCCATCACATGGACGCCCAAGTCTTGCGGAATGGACTGGGCGAATTTCAAAAAAAATTTCTCCCATCTTTGTAGGGAATCGAATTCCCTATTTTAGAAAACAAATTTTCAATGATCAATCTTGAACCATGAACCAAATCAGATTTGAACCAAAAGGAGTAGGAGGGAGGATGTACTTGATACGGAGAAACAATATCTCCCAATG